CTGCATTTTAAAATGTTTATTTCTGAAGGATATTTATTATATATACACATAATTAAGTTAACGAGGGATGTTTAAGCGCTTTCAGATGTATTCTTTATAAACTTGTCAAGAATGAGTAGAATACTACCCTTTTATTGTTTGGTAAAGAGTTCTATAACATGGTATGTCTATCTGAATCGCCCTATCTACTTGAGATATAAGTTCTACGTTGAGATTACACTCTTTCATGATGGTAAAAATTTGTCAAAATGCATGGAGGTTTCCTTCGAATACTGGCACTTTTATCGTCTGAACATTCATCGGAGTCCTGGCTATTCTATCAGCTTCTTTCTTTCGTCCATCGTGTATTTCATTTAGCTCTTGTAACTCAATAATTATTCATTTGACAGGATTAAATGAACTCATTAACGTCTTCATTCTTGACATTTAAGTTCACTTCGTTCACTAGTTTAACTATTTCATCTGTTAAAGTTTCCAAAGTTTCCTCACCATTTGCGGGTGTAATTGTTTCCAGGCATCATCCAATCTTGACTCTTTTATTTTGGCCCAGGAATCTCCAATAGGTTTTTTTTTTTTTAATCGTGTTCAATATATCATAGCTTAGGGTTTCCTTTATTTTACATAACAGATTATTTTAGCTTTTGTACCTTTCCTGAACCTCTCATTTTCCCTTCGCATTTTCTCGCCAGGATGCAAATTTGAAGTTAAGTGAAGTGATAATTTCAACCGACAAATTTTGCAGTATATTCAGAGTGGGATTTCGCTAGCCTCGCAGGTTACTAGTTGCCCTTGCTATTATGCTGAACTTCTGATACATTTCTGGCCATTTAATAAGTCCATCGCCGGGTAGGTTGTTGAGTCAGCCTAGTTAGCCTTATTTAATTGTTAGTCCTGCACTATTTTTTATCTCTGAAATTATTGTGTAATTATTCTTAAGTTCAAACGCGAGTCGTCGGTGTTATTTAAGCACTAAGTGCGTGTATTTGTGTTAAGAGTTTGACGAATAATAAACGGTTATTTCATCTTTCTTCTGTGCTGGTATTCTTTTACGCCTACTCGAGAAATCGCCAGGCTACCTCGTAAGATAATTTTAACTGTATGTTAGCTAAGAAGGTAAGATCTTACAATAGTTCTTTTACAAATCTTAATGTAGGCCCACTTTCCCTGCTAGTTAGCTATCTTATGGCCTGATTGATTATTGTCGTTATATACTATCGTTTAAACTTAACTATCAGTAATCTACGAGCTACATTGACCATGTAGTACTGGCAGCAAGAAACACAACAATGAATCATGGGTATAAATTCCGCAGAGATTTGGGGTGTCCTGGAGCATTGTATAAAATCAATAATGCTTTAAATTATAAATTTTTATCTTTGCTTAACTGCCGGCAAGAAATGAAAAGTAAACCAATCCTTAAATATTAACGTAGTTAATGCAAGATGTTTTTTAGTCCAAAGGGGCTTTGTCCCTGAAGGACTATTATTTTCGTTTCGCGATTTTGCGTCATTTCACTACAAACGGCGAATCACTTTTCAAACTGTTGCCACAAAGTATTATCACCCTGATTATTTTGAGAAATAAATAATGAAAAATTGCCTAAATGTATGTAAATTTCTCGCATTGATGAAATAACGGTAAGTAGAACCATCGAATTTGAATGATGTAATCCTCCTACGATATGGGCATGGGAAGACCAAATTTCAAATTTGAATTTGTTTTATTATCGATTTCATATTTTGTAAAACTTACAATTTTGATTAACAAACTCAAGGATTCCAAGCGAGCAATGGCAACGTTTACAGAGACTATTTTTTATCCCGCGCGTGATCTCTGTATCAGAAATTCTAAATATGCTCATTTTAAACTTTTTGCGATAATTGCTGTTGAACTGAATTTTATGGTTTTTATGTGAAGAACGTGAAATTAATAATAATGCAACACACAAAATGTTAAAAAAACGCCCCTTTGGACGTAATTTTAAATCTGAAACCTTTCAGATTTCCCTTTCTTTTTTGATTTTCCAAATGGCTGAAAATACTTCCTTCTCTTTCAGTGCTCTGGGATTTACCGCTTCAGCGACTGGTCAGAAGTGAACAATTTTTATAATATCGATAATTTTTTTAAAAAAAAATGGAATTTTAAAATGTGCGAAATAGCGAATTGTGAAAAAGTCGAGGACTACATGTGGAGGGGGGCACAGTTTTTTTAGTTGAAATACAAACAAATTACGTGTCTGAGAAAATAAAATATTGTAGTATCGTTAAATTTTATGATAAAAATATCTGATATAGACACCACATGATTTCCTTGGATAGCCTAATAAATTAAACACAGTTTTGTTGCATTTCATTTAAACTTACTTCCTCGAATTTCATAAAAGATATATTTTCATTCAATTAATTGAGTTTTCACTTCGCGGCAAAGCAAAAATGCATAAACACTTAAAACATCTTCATTAAAAATTGTAAAATGCCAGAAAAACATAAAACACCAGACGCAGTTGCAAAGAGTTAAAAAAAATTACAATTAAGATTAGAATTTCTACAGATAAACAAGCAAGTCGGCTAGCGAGCAGGAAGACGGATTTTGTCGGGGCACAAAATTCCAAGTTAACTTATGCCATTTGCCATTTGGTAAAAAGACACTGAAGTAGATGCATCAACTGTCCTAATTCACTATTCTACTAAGAGTTTCAAATGTAAACTAATGGCGGCCTCATTAGGGTTAGCGCTACTCAAACCTTTATACTGTTCAAAATTCTATATCTATTGCATGCAGATTAATTAAAGGCGTAAAAATCTTAACCTGAATAAAAGAACATCATTTTTAAAGCAAAAAATGCATGATTTATTAAGATATAAGATTAAAAAAAACTGAGCTCACCGAGTCTTGTAACAGAGTGGGTATATATACATATATATACACGTTTGCAACTAAAAAGGGAGGTGCACAACAACATGTTACAGCAGACCCATACATTAATATTCAACTTTCTAGGGCTAATCTTTTCTGAGTTATGCGAGATATATGTACGGACAAAGTCACGAGAAATCTCTTCTGAATCCACTTTAAATCCATTTTACAATCAGTTTTGGAAAAAAAGATTCCTTTATTCTGTCCGTACGCACAGATGTCACGCAAAAGCATCGTTCAGATGGATTCGAGAGCGGTCAAAATGGATATTTTCGTTGAAATATGATACACGAAATTTTTCGTGATTACAAGATTTCCTATGCTTCGTACAAGGAAGTAAATAAGATGTTTCGTGTTTTGATTTTCATTCAAGCGTTAAATTTTATTCCGGATGCAGACATTTTTGAAGAAGAAGAAATTATAAATTCTGCAATCGACTTTTGATACAGCGTTAGGAAAATATTTTATTTATTACTTTCACTGTGTAAAATACTTTTTGTTTAAAAAAATGTTGTTAAAATATTCTGATAAAATGACTTTTTACGAGATTAACAGTGAGTGAACGTTTTCTTAACGACAACATTAAAACGGTCTTATAATACAGGACATAGAAAAAAGAGATGTGTTGCCGATTAGCAACAGAGTTTATTTACGACTGGCATGATTTTATCTCAGATTGAAAACAGAAACGCCTCTCTGAGATATTTATGTATTTTATTGAAAAGGAGATTCCACATCTAATTGGTATCGCCTAGTTCAAGTTGTTCTAGGATCAAGAGTGCAATTCATTATCATTCCTCAAATCTCAAACTAGTATCTGATAAATCACTCCTTAACAAAACTTTACTGAACTAGAATAAAAACTCTTTTACTGCCTCCCTCACGGAAAAATAAATAAATAAATAAAATAGCAAACAAAGTCGTGTTAATTGAAAAAAAAATTAAAAAATAAATTAAAAAAAATGTGTGAGAGCGCGAAGAACAATCATGGCAAAGAAGAAATCGTTTGGGGAAGGAATACATACACACAGAACAACAGGTCTTGGAAGAAGGGGTGGGATAAGGGGAGTGCAGAAAAAGAAACGAACGAGTTGAGCGGTAAGAGAGAAAAAGCTGTGGAGAAAGTTCGCACGCATCCAGTGAGAGTGGAAGGCCCAGACCTTGACAGTCAGTCTTCCTCTTCTAGTTCCACCCCGGCAAGGCCAATGTCATCGTGCGGAACAGGTGAGTTCATCGCTTGGCGCTCTGCTTTAACGCGGTCTGGAATGCATCCCTATCGTCTGCGCGAGTTTTAGTCCCAATCAATTCGAACGTTTGCTACCATCGACTGGTACTCGGGGAATTACCTCCAGTTCGGGTACCCTGCACATGTAATAGTAAATCATTCAAGAATCATTTGGGATTTGTGGGCAGAGTAGAATAATACAAATTGAGGTGCTTATATGATTTATTTGTTTTAATAGTTTCGTTATCTTCTGGAAATCAGTAAGAATTGTTTTTTTCATTAAGCGTTTTTGTACTTTGATGCGTTAGAATTTGGAGGATTTCAATAATGTTGCCACTCCGTTCATAAGAATTTATGTACTTTGGAGTTATTACATTTATTTAAATCTTTCGAATATCATCCAATAAAATTTATATAAATGTATGTGAGCTTTAATAACAGTCTTAGCTTTAGAATTCCGAATTTCGAAAATTATTGCTTCGCCAGACATAAAAAATTGTATATTTTAGAATTTCTATGGTAATTTTTCAATTAAAGAAATTTTCTGTTAGTTCCAGAAGAAGAGCAAATGCGAAAGTTAGAATTCTGAAATAAGAATAATTGAAATAACACTTGCTTCATAATGTGGATAACTTAAAAATATTTCGTATAGATAAAAAATTATTTTGTATATTTTAGAACGTGTGAGTTACATATTTACTCTAATTGTTTAAACTGACAAACTTTAATTGAGTTAGAGCTTTTAAGGAAGTGTTTGTTTTACAATGTAAAATAAGAAAACATGCTTGTTGCAGTAGGTATCATAAATTATATCTTGTACAGTTTTGTGCTCTGTGTTTATTTTAATTTCTTAAATATCTTTGATATGTTCTAATGTTAGAATTAAGTAAACTTTCCAAAACCTTCTTTAGAGCTTCAAAGCTTTTATGGCCTCTGAAGTTTTCCCCTTCCATTTTGAATTTTGTCGTGTTTGAATAATATTTTATCTTGCTAAAACTATTACAAATTTTAAATTATCAGTAACTTTTATAATAGATTTCACTTTTCTAGTTGGAAATAAAAATTTTATTTACGAATTTAAAATCACGTATGCATTCCTAAAGTCACCGTGATATAAGGGAAAAAGTTGAAATAACACAAATTCTCAGACGACTTTTATTGGTAATTTCAAGAATTTAGAAGTTGCTGATGAAACGAATAATGATATTCAAGTTTTAAAAATTAATTTCAAGATTTATACTCAAATAATGAATGGAATTAATACTCATTAATGAATTTAATGAAGACAATTTAAATTGTATTTGAAAATGATATTTCATAATACGCACATACGTTCTCTTCTTATATTGTTACTTAGTGATCTGTAAAAGTGGTATAGTAAGTTTGAAAGTTCTGAAAGCCGCTTAAAATAAAAAAATTATTTTTATATTGATCGTTTAATACAACAATTATAATGAATACAACGATGCTAATGTAAAACAGCAGTACTGATGAAAATACTCATATTATGCATGTTTTTACCATAAAGACATGAAATTAGCCTATAAATAACTCGAAGCCATTTTCTTTTTATTAATGTTGCTAAATTTAGATACGAAGTTTTTACTGGAAGTTAAATGTACTTTTCTTTTCAAGGCTTAAACACTTTTTGAGAACTTCATACCTTAAATAACTATTAAATTTTGCACCATGCATATTATTACTATTAGTATCTCATAAAGGTATTATTGCTTTTAGTTAAATCACGTTCGATATAAATATACATTATTACAAATGGTAATGAATGTGATCTTGATTTTTAAATTTTCAACTCTAGTTCTTGTATGCATTATGATGGCTCAGATTTCTAATTCTGTGTCTTGTGTAGAAAGTCGTCTGCTTCAGAAATGAAATCTAATATCTATGAGGATATTTTATAGTAATATAATGATTTAAATCTCTTTATTTATTTCTTTTCGATTTTGATTCCATTCAAACATTCAGCAGTTTTTTAATATTTTGATATTTTTATACCACTTAGCATCAAAAAAATTAATTGCAGAAGCAAACACGGAAGCTTTAAAAATCAATATCCGTTTTGAGTTCTGCTTTAATGATACTCAAAATTAAAAATTTAGTATAATTAACAATACACGTTTTCAAAGTTTATATATTTTAATGTTTTACAAATTTTGAAAGTAAACTCTTCTTTGGTGTTAGACTGTAATTCAAAATTTTCACATTACACTTTTTATAGGTATTTTTAATGTATATTTGATATTTCACGAAGCGTTTTCTATAATTTAATTATTAATGCTTATCGTCATGCTATACTTTTTCATGTACTGGAAAAATTTCAGTGTATGGAAACATATTTCATTGTATGCAACTTTATTTAAACAAATTTATCTTTTTCTCCAAGAATAGTTTCTCGGTAAATATAATAATATGCATTATATTAATAATTTTTAATTCCTTTTTTTAAATAAGCATGCATTATTTATTTAGTTACAACTTAATGATCTTCAAGTATTGTGTCCGAAGAAAAAATCCGAATAATCGTTTTTTTACTGCTTATCAACGGTCTAGTTCTAACGGAAGAATTATCACTAATTCCTTGACTTCATTTTGTAAAGCGTTTGAAATCAAGTTTTCTAGAGTTACATGCTTATGTTTTAGACTAATATACTTAATTATTCATTAGAGTTCCACACTACTATCTGCAGGCATGCTAAATTTAGTTTTTAACATTACCGAATTTTAATATAACTTGACTTCATTTAGTAATGTTTGAAGTTAACATGCTAAAAGCCTGTTTCTAAGATTGAATATTTATTGTTTTAGCTCGCTTATTTTTAAATATGCAACAAAATTAGGATTCAGAGTTACTTTAACCACACATTTTTCACAGTAAGCGATAATTTTGACTGATAGTGAGTTTAGCTGCCTGAATCATTTTTGGCATAAGGAACATTGTTTATTAATTACAGTAATACTGTAAGTGTTCACGATAATCTGTTCTATGTGTAATATTTAATAATTTGTAAATGGCAACATTTAATACTTAGTGACTTGTAATTGGCAACACTTGGGATACAAATATGAAAATAGAACTATGCTAGTATTGCAGTTTTGTGTAATAGAATACATTCTACGATTATAAATAAATAGTTCTTAGAAACTATTTTTTCATTTATTTATCATATTTATTTATCAAATAGTTTTTTCATTTATTTATCATATTTATTTATCAAATAGTTTTTAGAAACTATTTATTTATAATCATAGAATGTATTCTATTACAGAGAACTACAATACCAGCATAGTTCTATTTTCATATTTGTGTCCCACGTGCTGCCCATTACAAGTCACTAAGTATTAAATGTTGCCATTTACAAATTATTAAATCTTCCGTTTTTTTAATTCAAAGTTCCTATCTTACTATACCGAGTTCAAAATCCTATCTTACTATAACTACTTGAAATCAGCTTTCAGGTAGTTAATAGTTTACTATAATTTAATATATACTGTAAATTAATACATTTTAAATTACGCAGACTACTCGAAAAATATTAACTACGAAGTAGTGTATTTATTGTTTTTAAACGTCTCAGATTGTTATGCAGTCGCAATTTGAAATATGAATTAAATATCTTTTGCGATATTAATTGAATATTGGTTATTTGCTAGGAATATTCAATTAATATCGAAAATAACCTACCAAGTGAAAAATGTAGGTTTAAAGATATTAAACCTACATTTTTCGCTTGGTAGCTCTTGCCAAATCGAATGGATGAAATGCTTGATAACCGAAGAGCATCACATAGCGTAACTCCGGAAAGTCTTTGATAAACAGACCTCTAAGATCAAAAGACAATAAAAATACATTAAAGAAATTTTAAACATGAACGTTTTTTAACGTTTTATGCGTTATCTTTATTTATCAAACATCATGTTCTACGCACTCAAACTATAAAATTCAGGTAAACAGCAATATCGCAAAATAATTTTAAATTGAGCATGTCTTTAGAATTTCCGATACACAGTCTTGCGCGCTGGAGGTAATTTGCAGTGGCGCCCCCGTACAGTGCTGCCATTGCTCGCTTAGAAATCGTTGAGTTTGTTAATCAAAAATTTGTTAGTTTTACAAAATATGAAACTGATAACAAACCAAATTCCAAATTTGGGATTTCAGATGCCCATATTCGGGTGGAAATGTACGTTACTGAAAATTTAATGGCTCTAGGTACTGTTGTTTTATTACAACGGAAAAACCATACCTACATTTACGTCGATTCTTCATTATTTAATTTATTTAATATAATACATGGTTGTAATATTTGGTGGCAACAGTTTGAAAAGTAAACCGATATTTATCGCCAACCAACGCAAAATGCCAAAAAGAAATTAATAGGCTGGAATAGGCTTAATAGGAAATTAATTCTGGGCTAACGTCCTTTTGGGCTAATTATTAAAAAGCATATACAAGTACTTAATCAAGTAAACAGTTTTACTGCTTTGATTTGAGAGACATATTAAAAATCGCATGAGAATAGCAAATGGCTCAATACTTTTAAAAAATAGATCATTTTCAGACCGCATGGATTGCATACGAATGATTGAAATCTCGTGAACTGGGCAAATAACGTGGATGATGGTTGGTTAGTTGATTGATTAAATTAAACAAGCAAGGGCTGCTTTCTTAAGAGGAGTGGTACCGTCATGGAGGACTTTTTAAAGAGAATTTGGCTTGTATTGTATTTAAACGGGTAGAAAACTATGAAAGCGTCCATACCTCCACCCCTTTTGTCAAGACATGAACTGGGATCGAACTAACGGTGTTTAGCAATCTTAACCACTGGGACGTTGGTTGGCATAATATGGATGATAGATGTCTTGAAGCATAATAACGTAATGTAATAGTATAACTACCACGATAAATGTAAAGATTACGCTAAGCATTTCTTACTTTGAGGATCGTATTGCCACTTGTACAAGGAGCTCAAGGTCTATGTCCAAT